GTATGAAACGAAGCCTTTGGTTTCCACACTGACTTCCAGGCCCAGCCAGAGACACGCTCACACTGATTTCACTGGCCCAATCGAAGAAGGTAACAAGGCAGAAAGGCCCAGCCAGAGGCACACTTGCACTAAGTCCAGGCTCAAACAAAAGGCACTCCCATGCTGGTGTCAGCCTCCAATCGAAGTACATGACCTGACTGGTGCCAAAGCCCAATCGAAGGCCATGACCTCACTGGTTCGAACTCCCAATCGAAGGAGGCCAACAGAATGCAAATCGAAGGCTGCTACTGCCTGGGTCGAAAGACACTCATTTTTTCTTACTTTTATCTTATTTTTTCCTTCATATTTTTTATGCCTTTTGATATGTTTGTAATAGCGTAGGATTTTATCTTTCTGCATTTTATTTGCTTTGTACAAACGCTAGTAATTAGGCGTGTATGGCAAGATAAAATCAACAAGTAAACAAACCAAAAAATCCAAAAACACTCTTTAATCCTTACTTGAATATATCTTAAAACCCGCAAAACACTCAACAAATCAAAACTCCCCCCAAGGGCATGTTATCTCCGTTCTACCGTGATATCGGCCGTGCCTATTGCTAGAATGCGTGCGTTAATGTCGCCCACTAAAAAACACAAACAAATCAACTTTTTTCTAGAGGAACTACGGTGTTTTGATTCCTTCATTGGATACGTAGGCAAAGGGTCGCGAAACCCTCACGAACGCAATAATAAAAACTCATTTCTTTCCCCTTAAGCAAACATAATTGTAGATAAATACACCCTTGTATATAACAAACAATTTCAACCAAAAACAGATATTCCAAAAGGTTCCTGCGGAGTACCGCAGATGCATTGGATGCTAATACCTTCCCATTGTATAACCAACCCCCGAACTCTTGATCTCTTTCAAAAAACGCCTTGTATTTTCATTACTTTTAAAGTATTATTTTACATTGCATATTTTAGGGTTTTATTTCGCTCTTTTCCCTTTTCCCTTGGAAATAATAAAGCGCGGTGGCGACTCTTGCTTTTGTGAGTCAAGTTAATTAATAGTTTGATCTCCGACTTTCACCGCTACACATACGTACTGCACAATATTACTACTCATTCCATGACATCAATTACATCAATTTAATCACGCACATGTCAACATTGTACCCATAGATTTCTCATCAAACCCCAACATCTAATAAATATAGATATTGAGAGATTTACATCCTAAGCATAGTCTATCCATTACATATCATTATACAATTACAAATCATGTATAAACCCATCCTTACCTTGATTTTTTTATGAACTCTTGTATTTCTCCTTAGGTGTTATTCTTCTTTTTCTCCCTTTTCTTTTGTCTCTATGTGAAACCCTTTTTCTCTTCCCTTACTAGCTTTTATTTTCTCTTTTTATTAGACCTTAACAAAATAAGTACTAACTCTAGTAACCAAGCTAATGGGCTTACTATCACACTCCCACTAACTCTTTACATTCCCACAAAATCAATCAAATAATTAATTAATAAAATATATAATTAATTATTAAAATTGGGGTGTTACAAACTTGGTCGAAGAAATCACAGGGAAAGATGATGGAGCAATTACCATGAAGATCAACAACATGTTAGCTATCAATCTGGCGAAGAACCCGATATAGTACATGGTTGAAGCAAGCACATCGAAATGAGGTTCTACTATCTTCAAGAGCAGGTAGCAGATGTGAAGATGAACTTGGAATACTACAAAATCGAAAATCAGATTGCAGACATTATGACAAAGGGAGTGCAGGTCGAAGTATTCATAAGACTAAGAGCTATGATGAATATAGATAGCTTAGACATAATGAATTAGGTGGTGTGTTGAAAGTGTAATTCCTTGTGTTGGAGCAGGATGTTGCTTGAACACAAGGTTTGTCGAATTAGTGTGTCGAAGTGTGTCGAGTTATGTTATTTGTCAAAGTGTTGTAAGTAGGTTGTTACATACAGATTCGATTTAGATCCAAAATAGGTATTTTAGAATTTCGTGTTTTGGGTTTTCCCTTAGGGAGAAAGCTAACGTAAAACTATAAAAGAGGGAGTAGCCCCCTATTTTGTAATACAACTCATAGCAACTGTATTCACAGAATATTCCAGTTGCAAAGTGAATAAAGATTTTCCACAGTTTGTAGACAGAGAGAAACTCTGCAGAAATCCTAATATCTTTTCTTATTTAATTTTTCTTTTCTTTTCATCATTATTGCATGGTGATAATAATCTTGTTCATAAAGATTAATAGAAATTTATCATAGATTTTGGTGGATTTCCAACAACCTTATATGTAAAACATGATAGTAATAAAAATTAATAAATAGATTAATTAGATATAATAAGTTTCTGCTTATTAATTAATATTGTAAATTCAACTCTGATCAAAATTCAAACACCTAAAAAAACAGATATAAAGAATAAAGACAATTTTATTTTTTCAGAATGGCAGAGAATAGAATATGCAATGCATTTCATCCATTAAGTTAATTTTATTGATAGTTGTACAAATATATTAGATTCAAGAGTGTCTGCTTAAATCCACGTCTAACTTATTAATCTTTAAAGGATGTATTGCAACCACTAAACTATTTTAAAAAAATCTCACGCAAATATTAATAATTTATGATTGTCATAAACTATAAAAACAAGAAAACACGAGCGATACACTGACATACACTGACAGTGTAAAATATTCTTGTACTGTCAATCAATCACCACCATATATCTAATTAAATTACTCTTTCATTTAAATTTTTTTTTAATGACATGATAAATTAATGGTTTTCTATTAAGAGATTTTTTTCTCTTTTTTGTTAGATTTTTTTTAAGTTTTAAGAAGCATTAATTTATTTCAAAAAAGGACTAATTTAATGTTAAAAATTGAAAAAGAAACTATTTTACCAACTTAATCGACACTTTTGAACTTGAAATTAGGTCTAATTTAATTTAAATAATCTTAGAGAGGGATATAACTTAGGTTTATTTCATTAGAATATTTGTAAATAAATAATTCAATTAATATTTAAATAGACTAATAAATTAAAAAATAAATGAGATTGAATATTTATTTATATTACTCAATAAAATTTGAATGAGATGATAAAAGATCTCTTTCAGCATGACCAGAGATCATGGGTTAAAATACAGCCGTGATCATACATCATTGTTAACTTCTCTTGAAAAAGAGTTTTGTTATCCATTGTGGTTGTATCCAACTTAAAAGATTAGTCTCTACAATTGTGTGCGGAGGATATCTAAATTCTATCCAAAATAATAATAATTTTATATTGACTTATAAGTTTTTTAATATTATTGTTTGAGAAAATTTATGTAATAGTAAACTTATGTAATTGTTTATAAGATTTTTAAAGTTTTTTTAGAAGATTTTAAAAATAACTAAATTTTATTATTGAATTTTAACTTAAAATACAAAATACATATAATAATAATAATAAAGTTATTTATAATCAGTTAAATAGATTTAAATTTTTGAATGTTTTTTAGCACTAATCATGTTATGAAAAAAAATACATAAATAACTATGCTTTTGAGAAAATTACGCAAATAATTATGTTATCGAAAAAAATTACGTGTAAATAACTATGTTTCTAAAAAAAATAAATTAAAGTGTCTCCTCTATATTTTTCAGTTACAGGTATATTTTCCTGCATATTTGACATTATCTGCGGACTTACCTACGAATTTTTCTATGGAATTACCTGCGAAAATATAGTCCACAGATAAGTCCGCAAGTAAATCCGCAGGAAAAGTCAAATATGCAGGAAAAATCAATACATGCGCCATCTCACTTAGCGCTTCCTTTAAAAAAAATCAATGCATGCGCTATCTGAGATGACTACTGCATTATAATGTTTTCTGAAATATGGTCATTTACGTAAATTTATCTAAAATATGATTATTTGTGTTTTTTTTAAAACATAATTATTACTAAAAAAATTCTAATTTTTTTTAATGGTTTATGGCTAATATTTTTTACTAAATAAGTTTATAAAATTTTTTATGCCTCTTCTATTTAAAGAAAAAATCTGATTTAGTCTGAACCTATATAAATTAAGTAATACTAGTTTCTTTTAATTGACTATCTTTTATTTATCTAGAGATAAATTATGATCATCAAATTAATATTTCTTCTGTCTTATAATAAATATCTTATTTGAGTTATGTGTAGTTCTTTAAAAAAAATTAAATATGTTAATTTTAATGATAAAATTAATATCATTTACTAAAAACATATTTATTTATTATAGTTAGTGTAGTAGTTGAAAAATACGAAGTTAATAAATAAGTGTATAATAGTAAAAAATAAAAATAAATATTGTGTTGGTATTTGAAAGAAATATTTATTTTGAGATATAGAAAAAATATAAATGAAACACTTATTATAAAACAGAGGAAATAGTTAAAAATTAAATTAAATTATTTATTCCATAATAAATTATAAATAAATTTAACTTTTTTTAAATATATTTAACAATTAATATATACCGTTCATATATAAATTAAATATATTAATAATCAAATATATAAAAAAACTGAATTTACAAAGAGTAGATAATAGTAATAATATAATTTTTTATTTATTTTTAAAATGATTGATTTTGTGGAAGAAAAAAAAGAGAAAACCAGAAAGACAGGGCACATTAAAAAAAAAAAGAAGGAAAAAAGAGAAATAAATGTGAAAGGAATGGCCTACATCTCCACTTCCATCTAGAATAAATTGACTTTAAGAAACAAAATTAAATACTCATATTTAATTCTAACCCCAATCAATTAATTCTCGAGTTTAAAACCTCATTTCCCAACAATTTAATGAACACGCTTTAAATCCCACTTATGACGTCGCTGAATACATCACCATAATCCGCTTTCAAAACTAACCAAACATCACAAACTTTCACACATTTCATTTCCCCATTCACACAACAAACACAGACAGAACAAAAAACAGAACCATAACCATGTTTGATCCAACAAGAAAACACCATAACCCCAAGAATTCATTCGATTTGTACGATGAAACAAGACACGAAACATGGGAATCTGCCAATTCTAATAATATGTGGCCGTTAAAACAAACTCAATTGTGTGTAGATGATGACGATGAACCAGAACGTGAACCTCGATGGGGTATGAACTCTCCGCACTACAGAAGTCTTTCTCCTGTTTCGAGAACCGAAGCAATTATCAGAGGACAAAAAGAACTCATGGAAATGGTTCGGAATATGCCTGAATCAAACTATGAACTTTCATTGAAGGATCTTGTTGAACATCACTACCGGGATGTTTCTACCACTGCAGGAGAAAATAATAATACAGAAGATGAGGAGAAGAAGAAAGAGAAGGAGAAGGAGAAGGAGAAGAAGGTTGATGATGATAAGAAGTTACCTGCGAAGAGAAATGGAAAAGTTGAGCGTGGAGGGTTCTACCTGAAAGTGGCTTTACCCTTTATTTCTTTGGGATCTAATAAAGAGAAAAAGAAGAAGAAGAAAGAGTCGAAAGTTTCACCTAGACCGTCGATTTCTGATGGATCGGTTAAGGAAAAAGAGTGGTGGAAGAAGAGTACTCCTTTGGTTAATAAAGAGAGTGATGATAGTGCTGCTGAATCTAGTATCGTTAGTAATGGAAGTTTGAAAAGCTCTATTAGTAGTAGTAGCAAAAGTAGCAGCAGCAGAAGCAGAAGAACAAGAAGTAATAGCAGCAGGTATGTTTCATTGTTTTTTTTGTTTTGTTTTGTTTATAGTGATGATCAATTTGGAGTTAATTATAGAAATATTTGTAAGCAGAGTTTTAAATAATTGTCTGCAATAGCGAAAACGGCACTTACAAAACGGGAAGATACTGCGTTATCATTGTTTTTTATATTAAGGAATAATTTGTGGTTAATTTACACCGCGAGCATTCAGTATCGTGACACCTGTAACAATCAAAATCACAAAAAACTTTACGCGGTGGGCGACCGTTTTTTAAAATCCTCTTTGTAATATGATACATAAATTAAGAAAAATGGTTAATTTCGTGCTTTTTCAAGTGATACTAAGTAATTTTTGGATGTAATGCAGGCGCGAGAAGAGCCGTGGTAGTTGCTGGACTATGTTTCGCAAGTCAAAGAATCAGAAGAAAAGAGTAAAAGATTGATGCGTCTGATGAAACAACAAGTCACTGTGATTTCATAGTAATGGTACTTGCAAACTCTGCTGCAAGTCATCTGAGAATTACTACTTGGTTTCATTGTAGCTTCCAATGAATTAGACAAGTTTGTTTTAGGATTAAACTTGTTTAATGGGAAGGTCTCATGCCAATCACAACTTTGTAATTATTGACATTTTTCTTTATATGTTTATTTGAAGGTCTTAACAAATGAATTATACTTTTGCATGATATAAAAAAGACAGTGTTTAAAATGTAATCAAAGTAACTAGGGTCCTGATTCTCTCAAGAAAAATATCAAGATCCTTCACAAATAGAAATTAATTAGAAAAACTCTAAGTAGTGTTTTCAATTAGAGTATGGTTGTCTCTTTTCCTAATAATCCTTAATAATTTTAGAATCATCCATCCATCTTACCATTACCCTATTTTTATTACAAATACATATAAAAACATATAATTGCTATTAATTTTTTTCTTTCAAAAGTAAGTGCTACAACTACTTTAAAATCCAACTATTATAAAACTTAGCAAAGTCAATTTCAATGTATATCTTGAGCCATTAGAGCATACACATCGGTGGGTGCCACACCAATTTCAATACAAATGTATAAATGAAAATGAATATTTTATTATGTAAGGGACAATTTACCAATGTCATCGTTGTTCACAAAATTCACGGTGTTTTAGCTTTTTATTTTGTCTTTTACACATATGGGTATATAGTAGAGCAAGTGGGACCCAATTTAAATAGAAAAAAAATTAGATAGCCCATTTAAGATATTAGATTAAGTGGTATGGATGTAGACAAGGTTGTTAAAATTTCGATTTAAAATCTAAACTTTATATAGCAGTGTAAGTGAGATCTAACTTAAATTTTTTGATGGTTGACATAGATATTTATAGAATGTAGTAGAGAGTCTTAAATTATTTAAAAAGAAAATTAGATAGAGCTCATTTAAGATATTAGATTAAGTGATATGGATGTGGGCAAAATTGTTAAATTCTCGATTTAAAATCTAAATTCTATAGATTTCACGTTTCTAAGTCAGCATTTCGTGTTAAATCGTAGGTGAAAACCTTTTTATGTAAAATCGTATTCTGGGATGATTTTAAATGATTTAAATCGCTCTGAAATCAGTGAAATCGTGTAAAACCATTGGATTTTACTCTTTGACCCGATTTTATCTTCTTTGTCAAATTTTAAAAAAACACATTTTAAATTTTTCTCCATGAAAAATTCTCTCATGCTTTTTAATTTTATTCACATTCATATCTTAGTTATAGTATTGAAGAACCTTTATCATCTAGATATAAATTTAATCAAGTTAAATATGAATACACTAATGAATATGATGTTGTAAATGAACTGAACTTTTGATTAAGTTAAAGATGAAGATGAAAACATTTGTTTCTTTGAACTTGAGAAACTTATGAAATTCTTGTTTTTTGAGATAATCTTTTGGACGTTAGTTTTTTATTATTTGATGGGTAATTTAGGTAGTTTGACACAAGTTTGTGAGTATTGCACTTTATTATGGTGATATAGTGTATTTTTATTTATAATTAAGTTAAAAATTTAAATTATTGATGCATTTACAATATTATATAAGTATTTATACGTCGTGTATATAAATTTAATATTATTTTAATATGAAGTAAGTTTGACCTAATTTAATATTATTTTAATATGAGGTAAGTTTAACCTAATTTAATATTATTATTTTAATATTACAATATTATATAAATTTATCAATCCTCTAACAAGTCTTTATTAACTTTGACCTAAGTTCAATCTTTAATCATCATTGATCATTTATTATGGAATTCATCTTTTTTCATCCCTTTTTCTTTATTTTGATTTTTTACTTGTACTACATGTTTTAGGAGTTTGATTTTTATCAACGTCTCTAACATGTATGATACATATATTGCTATTGACCGACCTCAAAATAGGTGCAACTTCTACATAAGTCCACTTACAATTGCTTAACATAGTTGTTGTACCCCAAAATTTTCTCTCTCATTTCTCAAGTAATCTCTCACAAAACCTCCATTGGTTCAAGACTGCACAAGGTTTTAATCAGCTCAAGACACCTCCTCAACACTGATGACTCAATTTAAGGTTTGAGTTTTCACAAGGACAAATGGACTCTTAATGCCCCATATGAATTTCATGGATCATTTTGTACCCTCAAGATTTCTCATGTCAAGTTTCAAGTCTTGGATCACATTTTTGCTCAGTCAATTGATCAGTTGACCTAAAATCAACTGTATTGGAGGAAAAGTCAACTGTGGTCGATTTACAGTAAAACTTCATAATTTTTTATCCATATCAACTTCATGAACTCATATATGTCATTTGATCAAGTTTGGATCACAATTTCTCAAGAAATTTGATCAGATCATCAAAAGGGCAAAATGGTCAAAATTAGGGTTTTGACTGAGAAGGTGCAATTTTTTACTTTTGACCTAACCAATGAATTATTGGTTTGAGACATGATCTCAAGGATTCAAATACAAAATTTTGACCTAATGGCATGGCTCAAAATATTTCTCAAGATCAATTGATTGATAGTTGATTTTCAGTCAACTAATGAAAGTCAACTGTACACTGAAAAGTCAAACTTTGACTTTTTGATCAAAATCAAGTTTCAAAGATTACAATTCATCAAGACATGTCAAAATATGAAACTTGTTCATCAAGAAATCAAAAAGTCAAGATTTCATTTTGAAAAGTCAAAATTTCTAAGACTTCGAATTTTTCTAAGTGTTGAAAATTCATGTTTTTTTCATAACTTTATGCCAAGTTTACACCATGATGCAAGATAATTCAATGGAAACTTTCAACATGAAAGTTGTAGATATCAATGAGATATAAAACATTGTAGGGCATAACTTTTCCTAGAAATGATTAGATTTCAAGTTATGATTTTGTGAAGACATGCTCATGAAACTTGAGGACTTAGTGAAATTTTGCCCTAGTATAGGCAGGATTTTGATCTAACTTCATGGAAATTTTTCACCTAGCTCCAATTTGAATTTTCAAAAATGTACAAAATGAATGTTGTAGGGGATGTTACAAGCTTTCCAAAATGTCCAAGAACTCATTAAAATAATACTTGAGCAATGAGAATCGAAGGAAAGAAGTTAGGGTTCCATTCTTGTTTTACAAGGCAAATTTTTTAGGATGAACATGAACCAAATCCATGCTAGGATGCATAATCATTGCTTTGCAGGTTTAAAACATGTTTGTCACTCCATAATTAATGTTTTACACAATTGCTAGAGCCATTATCCAAGCATTAGAGCCATTGTCCAAAAGATTCATCCATTTTTGGAAGAAAGCAACATTGTCATTCTTGAAAAGTGACTTTAATCACAAAGTTAACTTGCATTGAGCCTCTAACTTGTTCCACCTACACAAGCTTCCTCTACAAAGTCATAAGAACATGTTTAAAGTTTGCAACCACTCTAGATAGCATGGTACAATCCTTGGGGAGATGTTTGTCATGTTTACTTCAAAAACAAGCAAAGTTGCCACAACTTAAGAATTCAAATTCTGAGTTGTTGTAACACTTGAAACCTCTTGCCTATAAATATATGCATTATTTGCAAGCTAAAGGACGAAGGCTTAAGCCCTGAAACACCCTAAAACAGAGAATCACCAAGAACACTTCAAAACTTGTCATTTCTGAGTTTTGAACCCAATCTTCAAATCTACTCGCGCGTTTCTTGGTCTTTTGGTTCCTAAACTTCTAAACATCATACATAAACAATCCCACACCCTGCTACACTTCTGTAACTCCATCTCCATCATTCTCCATAACCAAAAACAGAGTATTGCAAGTTGACTTCTCCAGGCCATTCCAGCCATCCATTGCTCAAGCTAACCATTGCATTAGCTTCCTGGGAACTTGAGGAAGCTAACCTGATCATTGCAGCACCTTGAATCAAACTCATTTGCATTTCACGATTTCCAGTTTTGAGGTATATTTTCTGAACTTCTATATTTTCATTTAGGCATTGTTAAGCTTACATTTGTGAAGATAAAATGTAGATATCATTGCCCTGAAACTGTACATGTCCATAGATTTAATTTATATTGATTGAGCTTAGAGAATTTTAGGTTTGAATCTCTGAAAAAAGTTAGGTCAGAATTTGGTACTTTTAGAAATTCTCATTCACCTTTGATTTATAGCTTATGATATTTATATGGTTAGATTCGTATGAAAAAATAGAGCAACTTTCATGTTTGCATCTTTCATTTTTGTTGAGAAATGAGCAAGTTACAAGAACCATGGCTGGAGGTTGAAGATGAAGTCATTTTCAGGACTTGTTTTGTGTTATGTATTTATCATTTCACTTATGTTAACGGATGTACAGCCACCCTAGTGGCAAGGCAACGCGCGTTTCATGTCTAGGGCGTGGGTTTAAGCCGCAGTGCTGCCACTTTTCACATTTTTTCACATTTTCCTCCTTTTTGTCACAAACAGGCGCATGAGCCTCCAATAATGGGCCTTGTCTTCTTTTTGTTAACTTCTAACCCCTGCCTTCATTTTCACACACCTGACCCAAATATTATTTTATTTTAATTTAATTTATTTTCTTTTTCTTATTTTTATTTTATTTCAGTTTTCTTTATTATTTTTTTTTAATTATTATTATTATTATTATTATTATTATTATTATTATTATTTTATTAATAAAAAATCCAAAAATATTTTATTTATTTATTTACATATTTAAAAATGTTTTTATTTTATTTTATTTTCTTTATAAAGACAAAAGACAAAAAACATTTTCTTAAAAATTTTAATTTCTTTTTCTTAATAATAAATTAATAATTATATTTAGGTTTAATTATTTTTCTTTTAAAAAAAAATTAATTTAGAACTTAAGTTTCTTTTAATTGATTAATTTCCATGCTACTTTCATTAAACTTAAAACCTTTCTAAAAAACCCTAAAAATGCTTCAAATTTATTTTA